CTGTTTTACATTAAGAGCTTGCAGGAGTAAGACGAGACACAGTTTCACAGCCCTGGAGGAGAAGTGCAGAGAACAATGACCTAGAAAACATGGGTTGAACTCTCTTTATCTAGTAGACATTCCAGACGAGGCAAAGAGGATCACTCACGTTACTAGTTTACAGGCACGTTTATTATTCAGTTCAGTTCAGATCTTTTTTGACAACTGTTTAACAGCTGTATGAGCAAGAAACTTGAAGTGAAACCTTAAAAATAGTTTTGTGGTTGTCAAACTCTGGACCATATGGCGGCCTGTGATGATTCCGTTATTGGTGGTAGAAAAACAAAAACAGACATAAATTTAAATAAAATATTCGACAAAAATATTGACTCTAATTATTAAATCAGTTATAAAAAAACTGATTATAGGCTGTAAAGCATGTTGTCTTACTTCAAGAACATTTGAATGTTTATGTTTAAAATATTTATGTTAATGTATATGTAATGTTATGTATGTACACTGTAAGTTCCAACAGTCAACTTTATCAAATGAAATGAGTGTAGTTAACGCAAAGTTTACTAAAAGTTAATTCTACTCATTTGAAAAGAAATTTGAACTCAGTGTTGAATATAATGGGTTAATTAAATACCTCAACTCAAATGGTTTGTTGCAATCGGTTTCCTCAGACAGTTTGAGCTGCCTTAACTTATTGTGTTTTACAGTGCTCAGTTGGAGATCAAATTGCTTCATTTACTGAAATGGAATTTAGTTTACACTACTCATTAGGATTAGTTTTTGAACTTAAATGGTTTGTAGCAATCGGTTTACTCAAACATTAACTTGTTGGTTTTTACTGTGTAAGTAAAGGGTAATAGCATTTTTTAAATAGAATACAGAATTTAAACTTGAATATTGTTGGCTTTTAAAGATTAAATAATAGTCAAACTCATTTTAAACGGCAAACTTTTTGAGACAAGATTTGCGTAGATAGATTTGGTTAAAAGTTATGTTTCATTACTTATTTATTGCTTTCTAAAAGCCTATTCACTCTGCACCAACAAACCCCAACATCGCATCTCAGACATTCCACAATCTCGCCAATGTCATTTGAACTTGTTCATTCCGCAAAAACAAGCCCCAGCCAATGGCATCAGGGCGAACACATTGATTCAGCAAAGTTTCGGCTGCCAGTACTCAACACTATCAATTGTCCTGAATGGAATATTTCACCCAGAATTTAATATTACTATTAATTTACTCATCCTTCAATCCCTCAATCCATCCTATATGTTGATTTTTTTTTTCAGTAGAACATTAAGTTACATAATACATTTCATTAGCTGAAATTTTGGTGCTAATAATAATATTAAAGATGTCAGTTATTTCTGGTACAGGCTTAACTTAATTTATAACTTAAAACTTATTATGAAGCAAAGCAATTGCCCTGTTTAAGAAATTTAAAGGTGTGGTCCACTTCGATGTCCTATTTAAACTTTAGTTGATGTGTAATTTAGCTGTGTGAACATGAACAACATCTCTGAAAGTAATACACTTATGCAAAGGGAGACATTAGCTTTTACAGAGTTAGCTTAGCAAAGCCTATAGCAAACAATGTTTGGGAACTACAAAAACTACATCTGGGCTAATGAGATCACTAACCCTTCAAGTTACGGAAATTCACCATGCGCATACACCCTGCACAGCGAAAGAGCGTGGCCAAAGGCGCTGTAATGTTAAAAATCGCTATTTTCACAGAGCTTCTTCTGTTTTTGTATTTGGGCTTCCAAATAACACAACACAAAGAGAGAAGTGCTTACAATTCAATTTTAATTATGTTCCAGAGAATTATAATATATATATATATATATATATATATATATATATATATATATATATATATATATATATATATAGCTAACATTTGACAAAGGACAGCTTTCAGAATCTCAGTTCAGTGCTGGATTCGCCTAAAACTCCTCCGACCAACGAAGCTGTGGATTGTGAGCCACAACCTGTATTTTATTTGTTAAAATTGATCTATTTCATGCACAGTTACTAGCATTAACGGTATGTTGTAGCGAGGAAGTAAGCAAGGATGTAAACAACGGGAAATACTAACAATTTAGCTACAATTTCATATTTATCAGTCAAACAGCTGTAAACAGCCTCGATCTTAAGCAGCGCTGCAGTGTCTCTCTATGTGGCCGCTTTCCATGCATTCTACATCGCAAATAACAAACTTGCAAAAGATATGACGCTTTATATTACTTACACATGCTTATTCTGAATATATCTGTATATGAAAGACACTTGTCAGATTTTATTTTAGAGAGCAGGTTTGAGGTTCAGCTGTGTGCTGATACGGCTAACAACTCCTCTGTTTACACAGCGCAAAAGCGCATGATTGTAGAGGCATGATCAAATCGCAAATCACAGCACTCACTATGTTGGCTGACCAATCACAGCCTTTTGAGGATGAGCCTTTAAGAGGAACTAGGAAATATGACAGTCGTTTTCATGTTAACAAAGTAGCTGTATATAATCAAAGTAAGATATATAAAAAAATAACTAATAAAATATTTTTCTACAAGTGACACACGAGCACACATTGATTTGCATCTTATAAACATAACCAAGCCTTAACAATACACTGTGGACTACCCCTTTAAAATGATTAAATTCCTGCCTTTTTATTTAAATAAATCACAATTTTATGAATATCGAAGTTCTACAATTTCAACTAAAATCTTTCAAATTCTACTGAAAAAAAAGGTGGACTGTATTAGGCAGAGTTAATTAAATATCAGCAAATTTACTTTTTGTAAGTGTTACATCACCAAAACAGGTTAGAGAAAAAAAATACGAAAAGAGAATAAAATAATCAACCATTTAAGGAAGATCAACATGCTCTAGCCACAGACTTCCAATCAAGTGACCTCTTGAAGGAGACCACACCATTAGTATAGTTTGTATGCTTACTAGGGGGAAAATCCAGAGCTGTCAATCTCTCACTCCACTTGAATTATTTATAAGAGCTAAAGTTAGGCTTCTCTTTCCACACACTGCCTGCTTCTCTTTTCACATACTCAGCTCCTTAATCATGAAGAATTTATTCCCACACCCCGATCACTAACAAGCCCACATATATTGCACATGAAACAGTACTAAGGAGATAAAAGGACTACAACATCTGTTTTCTAAATAACAGGAGCCATAAAGAATGATACATATATCGAAGGTTCCTTGTGGACAAAGGATTGTAGAAAAAGCAAGTATTTATTAGAATGTGCATTTATACATTGAATGAAATATAACAGTATTTTTACATAATAGTGGCTAACTTTGTTACACAGCCAAAAAATACATATAAATATTCATAAATAAGTTAAAATTATATCACTTTTACCAACTAAAATATATTAGATGTGGGTTCATTGAAGCAATCTAAGCATCTTGAATGTGTGGTTATTCATTTTTATAGATTATTCTTTCAGTACACAATTTTTCCGTTGTATTTTTTGACACAATTTTGTTTGTTAGAAATGCAAATTTGCTATTGCAGTATTAAGAGGGTGGATCTGTTTTTGTGGTCAGCACTATACTTTAATTTTAGACACTTCCTTAAAATTTACCCACAAGTAGTTTCAGTCCTCTGCTCAATTTCATGCCATTACAACACATTAGGTCTACAGTAATTGTGACAATAAAAGTAAATATAAGGCATTATCTTGTAGAAGTAGTATTTATCTTGCACTTCAATGTAATAACATAAATATAATACAAGGAATATTTACGTACTCTTTAGCTGTAGGCCTACATAATATCAATACTTTAGCTTGTAGTTTTTGTCCTCTTAATTTTGGATCAAAATTCTTTCGGTTTATGTTTATTACTGTGTATATATTGAACTGAAATAACCATTTTAATTCTTGCTTATAACAAAAATATGCATAACAAATAACACCTATAATCACTTGTGTAGTATCCTTTAAAAGTGTACCTTTGGATGTTCTCACACTAGATGATCTGAATCATCCCTATACATATTTTATTCTCAAAAGTCCAGTTCTTTTGACTAGTATGATAACTTTGAGCCATGCCCAAGCTCTTGTCTGAAAGTTGTTAGATTTTGACAGTATACATGTACATACCCTGTAGTGTATTTTTTTCTAATGTTTGTAGTAATAGTTAGTTTGTAGTATGAATATAGTAAAACCTTAATAAGCTGTGCTTAATTAGGCTGGGGCTAAACCAACATCTATAGAAGACAATCTTGCAACCGTTCTCAAAAAATAATAATAATGCTATTGCTGCCTATATGACAATACACAAGGCAATACTTTTTTTTTTAATGGTACGTAATACATACTCTCTTATCTACCTGTAGTAGGCCCTCATGGTGCAGGTTTAAATACTTAATTTAGAGTTTTTGATATTATTAGGTTTTAATAGCTCTTATTCATTAATGTTTTTTTCGGCTTAGTCCCTTTATTAATCAGGGGTCGCCACAGCAGAATGAATCGCCAACTTATCCAGCATATGTTTTATGCAGAGGATGCCCTTCCAACCACAACCCAACACTATGGCCAATTTAGCTTATTCAATTCACTCGGAGCACCTGGAGGAAACCCACACGAACACAGGGAGAACAATCAAACTCCACACAAAAATGCCAACTGACCCAACTAGGGCTTGAACCAGCAACCTTCTTGCTGTGAGGTGATCATGCTACCCACTGCTGCACCATGACACCCGTTAATAGGTCTTATTCTTACCTTATTGATGAACAGGAATTGTAGCTTGTCCATTTCTTCAAAACAAAAACTTTTTGTGATGTAAGCATGGTGTCAGGCACAGAATGCCAAAGTGCAATGTGAGTGTAAGAGCTAATCTTGTTAGGCAACTGTGCCTAGCATGAGTACATCCTTATTTACCACAGAAGGGTACATTTTTTGTACCCTAGTTACTAATAGTGCGCTAAATGAGGTACAAAGAATATTTCTCTGAGCACTCTGACAAGCTATTTTCCCCTGACAGCATTTAATGGAATATGTAATTGCAAATTACATTGACCCTGGAACAACAAAAATGGTTTCCAATCGTATGAAACAAAACAATAAAATATCTACGCTGTGGCAGGATGAAAACTGGACAACATCAAAAAGTTATTTGGTCATCTTTCCTTTGATACAAAGTCAGGAGATCTTCAGTCCACAAGATTAAAATCCAAATGCTATCAAAAATACAAGTAGATATTTAGGTTTCTCTTATGCGTGGTATAAAACTTCATTTCTTCTGCCAGTAATGCTAAGAGTTGGCTCGACATGCACAATGACAGTTCACAAAATTAGTTCAAGAAACATCTGGATGTGATAAAAGGAGTTGAGTCAAACCCATTGCTGGTTTTGTTTAAGGGATGGTGTCGCTGGTGAGCATTGCTGGGCAGAAACAGGGTCAAGTGGGCTCCATGTGCAAAGGAGAAATGGAGACACAGATCGTTCCATTGCTGGCATCAAGGCAGGATCATGTACTTCTAAAACAGGGCTGTCAGGGCAGCTTGGTGTGAGTGGGGTTACTATAACTGATGGAACAGCAAGACTTCTCTCAGGCTGACCCAAATATGGGCCTCTGGCTAGAATATCTTCACCAGGGTTCCCTGTCAGCCCTTGTATCATTGACGGGTGTGCCCGTTTTTCCCTGCGGTGCCGGAAGACAAGAATGAGAACCACAAGAATGACAATCAGGAGGAGGCAGGCTAGAAGTGGCAGGATGATGAGCAGGGGGTCAGATGCAGGTCTTGGAAAAGATTCCATCCTCACTAAAGTATTTTTTGGGAAGGGGTCCAGCTTGCCCATTGTGGTACGGGGCACATGTGGAACCGCAGATCTATTTCTTGTGTGGTTCCCCCAATGCTTTCGAGGTTTCAGTTTTGAAGCAGTCCTGTGTGGTCTACTTGTTGGATCTATATGCGATGGAGGGTACATGGGTGACATATTATTTGTTGTTATGTTGAAAGTTGGCAGCTTGGTTGGCTCTAAAAGTATATGCTTCCCTGTAATGGGATCAAATGGTAATACTAAGTACACAAACTCGCCCATGGCAGGCTGAACATTGGCAGCCGTCAAAAGGAAAACAAATGAGTCATTAAGTGGATGGACCGTTGTGACGTTGTGCCTGGCTGCTGTTGTGTTGCTATAAATGGCATGGAAGTTTATGTTTTCTACAATAGCCACTCTCCCCTGTTCCACATCCCGAAATGAAAAGGACTGGACTGAGTGAGGGGCTCCTCCGTGGTCAAATGTGACTTTGACTAGTTTGCCATGTTTAGGTGGCTCAAGGATTTCAAAGATGGGATCGCTAGCACTAAGGGAAGCCAATTCTGTTGCATCCAGGACGTCCTTTCTTAGCTTAACTGGGATGCCATCTGGGATCCTGACATGCTCTCCGATGTGAATCAGTGGCCTGACTGTGATGTTCACCACCTGGTTGGTCAGGTTACTCTCAGATGTAAAGACTGTGAACTCAAAGCTGTCTTGAGAGGATGATAGATCAGTCATGTGATAAAATACTCTGCCGGTGTGCAAGTCCTCTTGCTCAAAGTGTGTGACAGACTCTTCCATAACCATGATACTCCCATGATTTGGTTGGGCGGTAACTAAATATCTAATGGATGCATCCCTCTCGTTGGTGACTGCGGCCAGGTGCTCAAATGTCAAAGTCACTGTGGTCTGACCTTGCAACAGAGTCAGTCCAGTGTTGTTGACCACACTGATGGTGATATTCTCAACCTCTATGCTGAACAACTTGTAAAGTGGTCTGTGGAATCCATCAGTAATACTGAAGTAAATGACCCCGGATGAGAGTTCCCCTTGTTGCACAAAATGCACCTTTCCATGATTTACATCAGCCTGGGTGAAATTCAGTGTAGACTTGTTAAGTTGACCCTCCAAAGCAAGGAAGCCATTTTTAGGCCTGCTGATTACAGTATAGTAAATCTCCTCAGGTGGAGTGTCTTGGTCCTCCACGTAAAGGTTCTCAGTGTCCAAAGTCACAGTGTCCCCTTTGACCACTTTGAGTCTAGGGGATCCTGTCTTGAGCACAGGAGGTCGGTCATTAACAGGGGTCACAGTAATATTAAATATTTCAGATATCATGTTATCTGCTTTCTGGGGACGTTGAGCAAGCTTTCCTTTGGGGTTTAGCCACACGTTAAAAGTGAAGTTATCATGAGTGGTCTCCGAGTCGTCATGCACATATATGATTCCATGCTTGTGGAGGTTGATTTGAGAGAACTTTGGTCTTTCATGCGTCAGATTCTTTTCCCCTACAACAATTGTACCATGGTGGGGTGGAGAGATGATTTCATACCAGACCTCATAGAAATTGCGTTCATCTTCATCTAACATTCCCAAAAGGTTGGAGCCATCCAATTTTGATTTATCAATGAGAACACTGCTACCCTCAGCGACAACAGCTCCTGAATAACAAATATGAATGCATTTATAAAAACATTGATAGCATAAAGGCAATCATATTAAATTAACTAAGCAGATGATAAATTTTACCAGAAATAAAACAAATTACCTGTATTTGCATGCAGTGCACTCCTATGCTCCTGATCAGTGTTTTCATAAGAGATGTGGATATTAAAGGTGTGAGGTTGAAGGAAGGCTGGAGGGCATGATGCTGTGAAGGTAAAGGAATCTGTAGCAGCCCATGCAACAGGTTTAGTCTGTGCATACAGCACAGCACTTTCTTTCACCTGAAATAAAACAGTATTTGGATTGTTTTTGAGTGAGAATGATCACATAAATGACATTTAAATGGGCCATGAACTGCCTTTTTAAAACCATGTACTGTTCTTTAACGTTTACTTTAATTTTCCATTAAAACTGTAAACATAAGTATTTTATTTTCTGGTTTAAAACCTCTTCTCATAACTCTCCATTTTAATAGACTTTACTGTTTGTAGACTTAGGCCCAATCCCAATTCTATTTTTGTACCCCTACACCCTTCCCCTTGGCACTTAAAAGTCTGAAGGGGAAGGGCTTAAAAATATACCCCTAAGAATTGGGACAGTACTACAGCACCTGCACACAACATCATATGTCATCGCGATCTCTTGCTTCATTTGGGATCAGACTATCACGCCTGCTGTAGTTATTTCAGTTGTGTTATTTTTTGGTATGTATCTTCAGGAAATCACTGAAGGCATATAGTATGTTATTATTACAATCTAATGTGACAGTAAGCTTGTAACTATACTGCGCATTTACACAATGGCCATTTTTATCTATGTAAACATATGAAAACAACACTAACATTATAGCAGACACTACAAAAAGTGCATTAACAGCCACTAGACATTTCTGACAGGGTATTCAAGTGTCATTGAGTGACAATGTTGTGGGACTACGATACAGGAGTTATTATTAGGGGTTATAGATAGTGAAATTTAGTGGTTTTTATTTTAGCATTTTGTTTTTTAAAAGCATGACAGTAAAACATGAACGCTGTTATGAATATATTAAAACATTAGCTTATTTGTTGTAAAAATATGTAATAAAGACAAAAAAATACTATTTTTTGGATCTACTTACTTCCGGGTTTAGCTTTGTTGCTATTGTGGCTGGTGTCATTTTCTTGTCGGCTTAGTCCCTTTATTAATCCGGGGTCGCCACAGTGGAATGAACCACCAACTTATCCAGCAAGTTTTTACGTAGCGGATGGCCTTCCAGCCACAACCCATCTCTGGGAAACATCCACACACACATTCACACACACACTCATACACTTCGGACAATTTAGCCTACCCAATTCACCTGTACCACATGTCTTTGGACTGTGGGGGAAACCAGAGCACCCGGAGGTAACCCACGCAAAGGCAGGGAGAACATGCAAACTCCACACAGAAACGCCAACTAAGCCGAGGTTCGAACCAGCAACCCAGCGACCTTCTTGCTGTGAGGCGAAAGCACTACCTACTGCGCCACTGCCTCGCTCTGTAGCTGATGTATTCTGGGAAATTTTGGTTTCGAGTGTGGTCCTGAAAAATCTTTGTTCAAAGGGCTATTCACCCCTTACCCTTAGCCGTACGCTTTCATGTTAGAGAGAATTAGAGACACCCCTACCCCTTGAAGTGAAAGCGCATAAACAAAGGTAGGGGTAAAGTAAAGGGCTAAGGGGTAGAATTGGGATTGGGGCTTAACCTAACTCCCACTGTTATGATTTGTCTATATTTGAAACTTTTCATTGCTTTAAAGATTAATTCCATTAAGAACAGTTGTGTGCCCACTAATGTAAACTACATGTACGTTTGACATCCTTCATAGATGGACATAGAAGTGATTTCAGATAAAGACACATAACCACTGCTCATATTTTATCAAACGATTTGTATTAACAGACAAAGCAGTTTAATAGTTTGGTAAATAGTTACAATCGTGCGGTGGAAAATTAAAGTCAGATCCAGTATAGTCGACACACATTGTTTTTGTTTTCTAACTTTCTGTAAATCCAACATCAAATTGTGCCTTGATTTTTAATGTATCTGCGGTAAAATATATTTTAAAAAAGACCAGGTTTTTCCTTCTGAAAATTTATTAAAAATAATATTTATCCACTCCTTCCAGATGTTGGACCAGGAGGACTTGGCATGGCAGAGCGTCTTGTTTTTTTTCTGAGCCATGTTTATTGTTTGGTTTCTGCATAGCTCTACATTTGACTCTCTTGTTATTTCCAGATTACCACATAAATAGGTGGGCTAATCTGGAAGAGGTGTAGAAGCAGGCACTGATCTTCTTCTGTAAAGGATCTACTGTATCTTGATCTATTGCTTAACAAAGTAGCAGATTCCTTTTCAGATGTATTTATGCCAAACTGGCTTTAATATAAAGCTTAAAGTCTGAGTAAGTTTTGAGCTACAAGACTTACCAATTTTGTTTACTATAATGAACTCTTCATGTCAAATTTTTTTTTTTTTAAATCATGAAAATTTAGATTTCTAAGTTTGTGACTTTGTGACTTAAGCTGTTGTGAGAAGTAGAGAAACAGAGATAGTATCTGAAAAAAGATCTCAATAATACCATAGTCTGGGTGAAAGTCGAGATTTCTTGTGTGGAATTTTCTGCTTGTTTCCAGATTAGGCTTCCCAATCTTGGAGGTGAAGTTACTGTGTAGATGATGGTGCGATTGCCATGAATATCATCATAGTCATTTGTGAGAATCAGCAGCTCATCTTCCGAAATTAACTTTGAAGAACCTGTAGAAAAAGACAGGAGATGCATTTCTATATATCACACAGAAAACAGTATGCTAGTCTAAGCTTCACTTCCTACAAGCTGGGCCAGCTGCTGCAGTCTGCTACAGCATCTGGTCTTTTGGCTAATCTACCTCTTCATGTGAAAGACACCCTAAATATCCACTTCCTACCAACAAATGTAAGGGTTTTATCTTTGAAAACAAAATATGTTCTACTAGAAAGGAACAATTTAGGTTTAGATTGAGAAAGCAACAGGAAAAAGGCTGAAAAAACAAACCTGGGAAAACTCTGAGCTCCTTATTTTTCTCTAAGCTAATGATCAGAGATTGGGCTGTAATGCTGAAGATTTGCCTTGGAGCGAAGTTCAAACCATCATTGACTTGAAAGTGAAATCCTCCAGACATAGCACCTGTCAAAATATACATATCACAAAGTTACTGAGAGGTAAAGCTAAACGAGTTCTCAAACTGCATGAGCAGTTCCGTATTGACAACTGAAAGATAATTTATCAGGTAAACTAACCATTATGTACAAACACCAGCTGGCCATGACTGATATGCTCTTGGGTGAAGTTCAGAACTGGCCTAGAGGGGGCATTCTTCAGGGCCAAATGCCCATTATTTGGTGGAGTGACGATGAATTCTAGGCTCTCAGGAGGAGAATCTGGATCCTCCGCACTGAGGTCTTCATTAGTTATTTGTGTCACAGAACCTTCCCATACCTTATAAAAGAAATGAGATGTTGTAATGTAGCGTGAGCTGTAACATTATTACTGTATTAACTTTTTTAAACAGCAGCAGCCAATTCATGTTAACTGAGCCTCCTGCTGGTAGAACCGGGCATTTGAAGTCTATGCCTCCTCACAATTAAAGCTGATTTCACTAGGAATCTTTTAAATAATCTTTCCATGATTAAAATTATTCCAGCAATTTTATTTGGGACTGCAAGTAAAGCAAACTGTACTGGGCATCTGAAAAGTTAACTTGTTTACTATTTTATCTGCTTACACATACTGATGGGTTTGAATTAGTTAAGGCAGTTCAAAGGTAAATTTTTTTTTAGGTACTAATATGTATGTACCGCCACAGTGAAAGCACTTGTGCCTTTATTTCTAAGATTGTATATGTGTAAGGTACATACTATCGTAAACTTTAAAACATTTACCTTGAGAATCCTGTTGACAGTTATAATTGGAGATTCATCATTTATGGGTGTTATGTCGACATAAACCACAAAAGGCAAACTTTGCTTCCGAATATCTGTATCATTGGCCACCACTGTAAAATTATCAGCCACTGTCTCACTTCCATCATGGACATAGAAAATGAACCCTTGTTCAGCCTATAGCAACACAAAAAATACAGTGTGGTTATTTACTATACATTTTATAAATACACTTGTACTATTATATATTTTATTAATATACATAAAATGTATTAAATGTATATGTTAAGGGATATCATAAAATGTTATGCTGTGTTCACACCAGATTTAATTAACAAACAAGTTAAATAAAACAATTTATAAAAAATAAAACAACCAAGGAAGAAAATGAAAGAACTCTAAAAGCAGCTCAAATATTCAGGAATAAAACGTGTTGCAGTCGTTGGTCATTTGAGACTCCTTTATAACAAGCAAAGACTCTCTCTTGCTTTCACAAAAAGGTTTTTTTTATCTTTTATATCCGTTATTAATAGCCTATTTATGTTTTAATGGGGCTTATAGACTATTTTTTTCAGTGCATACATTGACTGCTCACGGCATATACATACGGCTTATACATACTTGTCTTATTTGTGTTTAATTCGATAGAATGATAAACACGGACATGCGCATTTTTTTAGAAAATAACCTATTTATATAATTTAAAAATATGTTAGGCCTATATTTATTTATATAGGCTATTAACATTTATTCTATTTATTTAAACTAGCCTATATTAAATTAAATTACAATCTGCATTTTACCATTCGTTTTGGCCTAAAAGAATTATTGAACAGTTTATTAATAACTTATCAAAGAACATTGTACTGAGCTCAGTGAAAAGTTTTAGGTCAAATAGGTTATTTAATATTAGAGCAATAGGCTATTGCCGACTCGCCGCAGTCATGTCTAAAGTGAAACTTATCAAAAAACAATAAACGCATAGCCTATGCCAAGAGCAACATTGTGTTAGATCTTAGCAAATACAAATGTGACACTGTTGGTTACTTTTGTGATGATTAGACCTGATCGAAGTTGCACCGCGCTCAACTAAACAAAAACATGGAAAACTTCACCACATAGTCACATGCGTGCGGCAAGTCCTCAATCCGCCTCCCGTCTGAAAGAATCTTAGAGCATCATTGTTTCTTCTGTGCATGGATAAATATAATTTCATTTGCTTTCATCCATGTATATAATATCCATTTTGCAGCAGTCCCGCAGGCCGAGGATAACGGCATGAACCCAGTCACCTTCAAATTCTGTCCCTTGCCGCACTGTCACATTGAATCATTTCAGTGTCAGCGCCTATTTAGCTGTAGGAGCGTGGTGATTTGCATTGGTTTGAATTATTATTCAAGATCAAACGTCATGCAAATGCAGTAGGTTATTAAATAAGTTTAAAAAATCTGCCGAATTAAAGGATATTAAATATCTTTAGATATGGTTAAATTATAATAATCAAATATTATATATACATAAACGTACCACTGCCACGCCCCAACGCGATAGTATCGTGAATCGACGATCTCACAGGGGCATAAAATATGGCGATCTAAAAATTTCGTGTATCGCCCAACACTAATGGAGGCTGAACAACATCGATTCGTTTGGAGCAGTGTCTGAGTCCACTAGATCCTTTCAGAGGTGCACCCAACTCTATAAGCTCATAAACTCCTCCAGAAACTTAACCTGGATGATGGAAGCAGGAGGATTTTCCCTTGGACACCAACAACAGGCACTACATCATAATCGCCACCAATGGGAGCATGCTCCTGATTGGTTAACGCGGCACGAATGACCGCTGAAGTTCAGATTTTCGAACTCGAGCATTTCACGCAAAACATGCGATACGTACGTTAAGCACGTCGATCCCGAACTCGCGCTGATCATTCGCACTAATCGCGCGCAGGATGTCTATTCGCGCCTTTGCAATGACTTAACGTGGAAATCACTCGCGCTTGATGCTTCTTCCACATCTAGTGTGAACACAGTATTAGACAATGGCAGCAGCAGACTGATGCAAAACAAATGAATGGCTCCTGGTAACACTTTGAGGACTTTTAAAGCAAAATGACTGGCCCTTTTAAGAGACTGCACTTTATAATACCTCGAAATATTGTCAGGAGCAACTGTTATTAATTTTGATTTCCCTCTATGTTTTAGTACTCTCTAACTGCCAGTAACTGTAGACTTGCATTTTATGAAATACAGTATCCCCTTAAAAGTGTTTAAAGGTGAAACTCACTTGAGCTCTTGTGAAAGATGGAATAGGTACACCAGGGATTCTTGAATGCTCAATTCGACCATGATGGGGCCCCTCGGTTACAAGATAGAAGATTTGGAGGCCTTGAAAGTGTCGGTTAACGACTTTGATAATGTTCTGAGTGAGAGCTTTAGAGGAACCCTCTATGAGGGTCATATTGGACACCTCTAGTGGGATGTGCAAGGGGATAATGTCCACTACTACTATAAGACCATGTAATGTTAGAATGCCATTGGTTACATCAAGTGAGAAGGAGTCATTGACATTCCCTTTCTCTGTCTGAACATACTGAACATGCCCTTCATTAATATCACCCTGTGAAAAGCTCTCTATGGGACTCTCCTGGCTGCCACGGTAGTGACTTTCTTCCACCATAGATATCCTCAGAAAACCATGAGCGGGTGCCACCTTCACAGTATACAAAATCTCGTAAGGTTTGTTATCCTCATGAATAACCTGAAACAAACCACATCAGTTACACAATAGTCGACATTTCACAACCAAACTATTTGAATATGTTTAAAAGCAAAACTAACCTGGAGAACTTGCTTGGTGATTTTAACAGGCTTTCCTTCATCCACCAAGATTGGGTTATTGTGAATGACTGTTGGGGGCTGCTGATGACTCTCAAGATACACTTTAATGTCCACACTTACATCCAGATGCAGACCTTTCACTTTGCTGGTGATGTTAAAAAAGTCCTCCAGGATTTCGCTGTCATCATGATGATATATTACATGATCCATCTTTACGTCATGTTGTGTGAAAGTATTTGTTTTGATTCCATTGCAGTAAAGAGTCCCATGGCTTGGTGGTAGAAAGACCTCAAAGACCACTTCTTCATCATGCCTGACATCCATATTAGTGGAAATACTGAAATTAGCAACTCCTAAAATGGCTGCCTGCCCTTTCTGTACCAAAAGACCCGTGTTGTTGCCCACTTCAACAAACGGATCCTGGGCTGACACTTCAAGTACTGTTGATGTGTAGTGTTTGCTGTCTGATATGAAGAGGACGAAGCGACCATAACTTGCTCCTTTGTGAATGAACAGCACTCTCTTCTCTTCTAAGTCCCTCTGATGGAATTGATAAAGCTTGTGTGTGGTGTCATTTACCAGGACTAGCTCACCCGTGGGGATCTTTCGTCTGGTATAAAGCAGATCTTTGTCATCAAAGTCTGTGTCCGGATCATGGTAGCACAAGTCTTCCAGTGTAAGTAACCGCTGGCTGTTATGCACCACATGGAAGACTTTATCCACAACACGAACTGGTTTCTCATCATTAACTAGCTGAATGGAAATATTAAATACACCCTCCGTGCCGAGTGTCTTATTTTTCAGAGAGCCAAAAGAAGCCACGAACCTGAATGCATCCTGTGTGGTTTCACTATCGTCATGGACATACATTATGCGTTCATCCAAAATGTCCTGATTAGTAAACTCTGTTATGGTGTCATTTCTTGAAGAGGAATTGGAGAGATTTATTTTCTGCAGTATCCCATGTTTAGGGATGTTAGTAACAGTGTAGTGTACCATTCGGGAGCTGGCTGTCTCTGAGAAAAGCATCGTCTTAGTAATGACTTTGCTCTCCCCTTCCAAGACAGAAAGTCCATGATTACTTAAAATTATATCATGAATATCTGCTTTAATACTGATTTTGAACTCATGGATCCCCGACATGGCATATTTTGAGAAAACCTGAAAATGAAACATGTCCCTTGCATCATCATGTGCCTTTTCTAAGAGCTCATATTGTAACTTGTGTTTAGCAATGTAATCTTGGCTAAAAGTAGAGTTCCTTTTTAAAGTCTTATTATCAAGAAGAAGATGTCCTTTCCTTGGTAATGTCAACAAACGAATGTGAAGGTCATTTTCCGTAAGTCTTGCACCCTTGGTGACAACATGAAATTCTTGAGGTGACAATGTGACTTTTTGTTTACCCTCTATCTCAACCTTATTTTTGGTGATTCTGTATCGTATCCAGCGAACTCTAATCAGAAATAAAAACTCTTCAGTAATGACTGAGCCAAGTGTGGCTTTGCATTTGAAACTGTCTGTGATATTACTTTGCTGTGTCCCATGGAAGGTGCTGAGGTATCGGAGACGCTCCTTTTCCAAAAGTTTCTGTGTAAATGTGCTTGTTTGCTTCCACTGCCCACTTGAATGTAGCCTTTGCAGCTCACCATAGACTGGTGGCACTGTGATATCATAGCGAATATCCACTGCTTGTTTAGGGACGTTCACTTGAATAGCAAGATTTTTGTTACTAATAAAGGTTGCATCCCCTTGGATTACCTCTACTCCAGTATTGTTGGTGAGCTTGTATTCTAGGGGAACAGCGATGATCCTAAATACCACAGTGTTGCTTACCTTGTCCCCATCACTTACTCTAAGTGCCATTCTGGAGTTCTTGACACCTTTGTGCACATAATTCACTTTACCCTGCTCTAGATCACTTAGGGAAAAGGATGTCACTGCTTTGCCTGGGTGTTCGTCAATTTCTATAAACCCTGAGTTAACAATCAGGTTTCCAAGCACTGTAAACTTAAGATCTGTTGAGTTTGTGTCAGGGTCGATGACTCTGAGGACATCTGTGCTCAAATGACGTCTTGAGTGCTCCACCATAATGAAGAGACTGCCTTCAGGAAGACTAAGTTCAGGAGCATCATTGACAGGTGTTATACTGATGTTGAATCTGTGCAGGCGGTTCCCTTTGAGATAGCTAGGCACTTCCTTTTTGCTGCTGGTCAAGATAGAAAACATGAAAAAATCAAATAGATCCTCAGATCCTCCATGGACATACATGACCCTTTTGTGCCAGAGGTCCAGCATACTAAAGGTGTTCTCGCCCAAATCAGAGTCAACATCTAGTCGGAGTTGCCCATGGACTGGCTGCTCCTCAATACGAAACATAATCTGTGACTGACGGATCCCAAGCTTACGGAAGTCTAGATTAATCTTTATGTGTTTAGACTCAAGTGGTGCTCGACTACCTTCAAGAACCTCTAAATCTTTGAGTAAAAGAAAATTCCTTTTGTCCAGCTCAGCTGGAACATCTGTATAATTTTCAGAATATAAGGCGTTAGTTGATGGACTTGTAGTAGTAGGACCAAATAGCTTTTCTGGTTCACAACCCACAGATATGTCCTTGGTAACCAATGCTTTTGGAAGGCCCATCCTTTGGTAATTAACTCTGATATTTCGAAGACAGCCTTTAAATGACCCTCCTGCTATACGCTTGCCTAACATAGACAGCAGTCCATTCTTGCGGACGTCTGTGTAAGTATTGGCATCCACCCCTCCTAGAAAAAGAGGCCCAATAAACTGTAATGCACTGGCATTAATCCCAAAGCTAGAATTGTGCATCTCCAAACCAAGAGTAAACTGAAGATTTAAAGGAGACAGATAAAGCCGCAAAATGTGCCATGCCCCATCATTGACGACCATCAATGAACGCAATACTGTTTTGGTTGCACCTATTTTTAGGATGCCAACAAGGTGACCCTTTTGGATCTCCAGGGCAATGTAGTCTCCTTGGCCTGCAGAGCTGTATAAAAAGATCCCCTCTGAATATACTGTCCGAAGTTCACATTCAAATACACCTTCTTGGGGTACGTCCCACATTGGCAATGACATGTACGCTTTGGAACTGAAGAAACTTATTGAATTGTTGACAGTTGCTGAGAATTCTGGACTGCAACCAAGTGACACTTCATGAATCATTTTGTATCCAGAGTATGGCCTAAGGGACGACAGAAGGTTATGCTCATTGAAAAGAACCTCATCCACACACCCTCGAAAGCCAAAAGAAGAATCATCTGCTGAGAGGTAGGATTTTTCCAGATCTCCAACGCCTCCGACAAAAAGACCATCCTGCACGTCCAGCTCAAGGTCAGGCCCTGGCATCCTTACAGTTGTTACAGAGTTTTTGTCCACAGTCAGTGTAATGTTTTCATGGTCATGCTGGAGTTCTACTGCATGCCAGGTCAGATCATTCAAAGGGATACCCTTCTCAGAGCGAACAGTCCGTTCCCCAGATCCAAACTCAATCCGCACCTGACAGAGATGGACAGGAGATCTTAACATTAATATATAGGAAATTTTTATCCTGTGTTGCTAAGAAACCCATAGTACTTTTAATGCCGGTAACAGAGACACCATGTCAGTAGTGCTCAGCATGAAAAGACTTGTCTGCAGAGTGATGCGAGTGGAGGATTATACTGTGAACAGGCTTTTTCTGTCTAGAAGCAACAAGAAATCACTTGCCTTTTGTTTTTGCCAAAGGGCAAAAATATCTGTGCTGAGCAGTACAATTTTTTATCTGTTTTTTTATAAATCAATGAAATCATTATGTTTATAAAAGATTTTAGACTATTTATTTTGCCAAATGCATGAGTAATGTCAAACATATTAATAAGCAGTTAAATATCGCAAAACATAAAATTACATCAAATGAAGTAAAAAGTATATGAAGACCTCTATTCTGCCAGAATGCAGCCCGACCCAGAGGAAGTCCTTCTCTCCGGCTGCCAAAAACAGCAGTCCACTGGATCCAGAGGTTCGAAACCGTACATGGATAGATGTCTGACTTGACAACTCAACTGTTTTCAAATGCACAAAACCATCTCCATAGAAAGAAGCTGTCAAAACAATCAAGGGTATAAAACATGAGTCTTCTGTTTTTTATTATCAAATTACATATTTTTCCAATTTTGCATAGTCCAAGGACAAGTTCATATAAACAATGTGCCAGAGGATGAGATGTTCAGAAAATATGAAAGTATAGTTTGTCAAAATGACTGACACAAAAACAACATCATTCTTTTAAAACATAGATTAGTCAAGTAACATGCCTGCTAATGTCCCTGAAAAGTTAGTTTGAAAGAATGTTGTGCCAGCTAAATGCCTAAAGCAGTTTATACTAAGTGCTGTTGTGACCGCGGCCCTCTAAATCTTTATCAGAGTTCAATTAATGCATTTGAATGCACTGAATGCCTTTTAAGAGCACAATAGCACATGCTAATTTATAGAGCACTGTGCCAGAGTCAATATGAATTAGCACAGTGACTGGATATGAACTTCAAAAATGCTAACCTACTGAGTTAGTAGCAGTGGGTAATTTGCATAAATTATTTGATTATTCAGATTATGAAAGCATGTCCAAACTACTGAATAAACTATTAATGCAACTGACAATAAGTGATAAACGACATAAAGCATCTTTGAGAAGGAACATAACATAACATAACATTTGTTGCTTATTAATTAAATACTTTTTACCTATTTAAATAAATTAAATATCTCAACTTCTTTCAACTTGCAAAATCAAAGATCATATTTTTTGCAATGCTTTAAAAAATATGTATTGCTATTCATCTTGCTGTCTCTATTTATCTTACATGGGGGAGGTCGCTATCATTCATGCAGCAGGTAAACAAAATTAACTTGGACTGATCGGATTATATCTAATCCCATATCTGACATGTGCAGAAGTGACTTTGTACAGTGAGGTATTAATTACTCCTAACACCTCACTTCATCTACAAACCCATATTAATAATAATATATATTTTTAAGTTGATATAAATAATTGTGCTATATGAACGAACTAATTTGCTGATAAAATTATATTTGGATAATACAGATGCATGAACTACTGAAGCTACAACAAAAACCATATTCGACGAGTTATTCATATTAGTATTATTGTTAGTCTTAAATGAACACTTATGTTAGGTTACATTACGTTACATTTGATGGAAGATTATCAAATTGTGGTGTACTGACACTCACCTCCGAAAGTCTGTACAGCAGTCCAAGTGAGCAGCAAAAACACGCGCCACAGAAACTTCTTCTCAAGGGGAATGTAAATCCACATGTTTTATAGCATTTCGGGTCGATTTATATGTCTTATTGGTCTAATATTCACCGGAAAACCTCCATTGTGCGACCTTAAATTATTGTTAACTTTAAATCACTACCTGCAAATCTGTCCACACAAGAACGTCATGGGCGTGTGACAGGTTACTCCGCCCCCTTCATGCATATTCACAAAGCTCACACAACCGTTACAAGTAAAAACACTATAGTCTGAAATAATGCTGCCTCCTTATCCATTATTCAGTATGCTTGCACTCATCAAGATTTTGAAATCTTTCAAAAGCTGAATCTTCTGTCTGGATTTGTAACTTTTTGATCTTCACCACTTCATTCATATATTAGTAAACGCATATTACAAAATAGGCATCGATTTAACATCTACATTTACTGATGTGTTTGACTTTAGCTTTATTAACAGAACTACCTTCTGCTAGTCTAAATAATCTAATTATTTTTATAATGACCACAAGAGGGCGCAATAACACTACAGACTGGCAAAAAAAACATTAAGACATCATTAGAAGATTTAGGGCTGATAATATAATCGCTTCATTGATTCATTGATTTACGGTACATGACTGGACCAAGTCTGGCTTTAAGACAAGGGCCAAAAATGGACCATATCTGGGCCAAGTCTCAGCCAAGATAATAACCCATAACTGAGCCTGAACTGGGACAAATATGTTGGTGTGTAACAACTGCATTGAAATTGATAAAACCAATAAATCTTTAGGCGTGCCATGGGCGTGCTTTTTCTCGAAGCGACCTGATTGGTAGAAGTTTTATTCTTTATTCAAAAATAATAAAATTGTATTTTAAATGTGGGTCAAGATAGGCCAAACAATCATCACCATCTGAGCTAAATACTACATTTTACATCAGGCCCAAGTATTGTGAGCTGCCTTAAATACCACCTCTACCGAACCTGGGCCATGTTTGGCCCACATGCTGTATGACAGTGCGGGATGAATGCCTGCTGTGCCAGATTTCTTTTTACATGGGTAGGCCTACTAAAAAAGTTGTTTTATCTACGAGTAATTTAAAGTAATTTCACAACTGTATCAATCTTTTACCAGTAAATCACAGCACCAAGATATAGGCCTATCGCAGTGTCATTTTAGTGAGAAAACACATAGAGGGAAAGATTATACGGCAACACTCAGTCATATGTAGATACGCCAATAAAAGCAATGATAAGATGTAAGAAGAATTTATTATATGAACATTTTAGGCCCAGTGAGCTACAGTTTTGGTGTCTGTATTTAAATGCTCGAGCTCTTTGAAACAGGATGATTTCTGAATGGTTGTTAAAATTTTCTTGTTTATAAAGTATTTTTTTTAATCTTATTATTTATTTTATATTTTATTGCGACGCAGTGGGTAGCATGTTCGCCTCACACCAAGAAGGTCGCTGGGTCGCTGTTTCGATCCTCGGCTCAGTTGGCGTTTCTGTAAGGAGTTTGAATGTTCTCCCTGCGTTCGCGTGGGTTTCCTCCGGGTGCTCCGGTTTCCCCCACAGTCCAAAGACATGTGGTATAGGTGAATTGGGTAGGCTAAATTGTCCGTAGTGTATGACTGTGTGTGTGTATGTGTGAATGTTCCCCAGAGATAGGTTGCAGCTGGAAGGGCATCCACTGCGTAAAAACTTGCTGGATAAGTTGGCGGTTCATTCCGCTGTGGCGACCCCAGATTAATAAAGGTACTAGGCCGACAAGAAAATGAATGAATGTATTTATTTTATTATTATTAGGTGATGCAGTGGCGCTGTAGGTAGTGGTGTCGCCTTACAGCAAGAAGGTTGCTTGTTAGAACCTTGGCTGGGTCAGTTGGCATTTCTGTGGAGTTTGCCCCCCCCACTATAACTTTTGATCATTTTCATTTAAAGTTCGACCATTTGCTTTTTCATTTCTTTTTTTTTTTTTTCTTTTAATTGACTTCGATAACAAACATACAAAATCTGGTCTTACACAAAAAATACAGTAATAGTAAGTAACAATGATAATAACCCAAAAAAATCATGTTAAATAACATTATAAGTATTAAACCGCACAATCACCTCACAGCAAGAAGGTCACTAATTCAAGCCTCGGCCGAGTCAGTTGGCATTTCTGTGTGGACTTTGCATGTTCTCCCCGTGTTAGCGTGGGTTTCTTCCGGGTGCTTCGGTTTCCCCTGCAAGTCCAAAGACATGCGGTATTGAGTATGCTAAAATTGACCCAAGTGTATGTGTGTAAATGAGTGTGTATGTATGTTTCCCAGTGATGGGTTGCAGCTGGAAGGGCATCCGCTGTGTAAAACATAGACTGGATAAGTTGTCAGTTCATTCCGCTTTGGCGACCCCAGATTAATAAAGTGACTAAGCCGAAAAGAAAATTAATGAATGAATGAATGAATGGATGAACAAATAAAGCAGTAAAAAAAAAACAAAATAGAAAAAAAGAAAAAAAGTTAAACAGAGATAAATAAAAAACACAAATGCAGCAAGTGGAAAGAAGGACTCGTGTATGCCTGAGATTTCCAAAATAACTATAATAATCCAAGAATCTATCACTTTTCTTGTTTTTAACCTTTCTAAGAGATTTAATAAAAACATCAGTTTAAAAAAAATGTGAAAACGAAGCCTGCAAATTTAAAAATCTATGTTTGTGAATAAAATATTTTCCATCAAAATAAAAAAGTGAATAATGTAATTCTCTGGTATGTCGGTTTTACCTTTATAGTATCAAACAATATCTTTTAGTTGAAAGGGGCTGGAAGAAGCAGTGTAATTACCTCTGAAGACATAAACTATTCCAAAAGCTTTTTGTGGTTGTATATTGAAATAATATGCGAATCATGGTTTCATCTTTAATTTTACAAAATGAGCATGAACTATCAACCTCCATATACTTTGCCAAAGTATTATTTACTGGATATATTTTATGAAGCTTTTTAAAATGAACCTCTTTTGCTTCATTGGGAATGCAGTACTTATGAGGTAATAGCCAGGCTTTTTTCCAGTCTATTAGGCCAATGACCATTTGCTTCCCAGTGCCGGCCCTTCTCTGTTGGCGTCAGTTTGACGTCTTCAGTCACAATATTCATAACCAGGCCCCCTTAATGTTTGTTTATCGCTCACCAGAGGTTTTTAGAAAAATGGCTTTCATCGTGACTCCACTGATATTGTTTCTCTGCGTCATTAATTAGCCAAGTTTTGGTGTGGCTTATCTGATACATGTAGAACAGTGTGCTTTATTAAGTTTCATTATTGTTAGGCTACATATTAACCATAGACAGGTTTCCCAAGGATCATGGCATTTCTGAATAATCATGAAATTTTAAAATGTCTAGCCCTTTCCAGACATCTGGGAAATTTTATATTTATATATATATATATAAATTTAATATATATATATAAATTTATTTATATATATATTCATGGAATAACATATTTTTTATTTGTTTGTTGGTTTCATTTTTAGTTTCTATCTAAAAAAAAAGTTTTTAAATTTTATTTTTGAAAGTCTTTTATTTATTTTAAAAGTATTGTTTAATATTTTGCTGTGTATTGTCATGATGTTATTTTTTCAGCTCAAATTTATTCCTCATAAACCAGCAGCCATTTAAGTCACTGACTGTATCTGTGAAGTAAATATAAAATTCATTTCTTCATTTTCCTTCGGCTTAGTCCCTTATTTATCAGGGGTCGCCACAGTGGAATGAACTGCCAATTATTCCAACATATGTTTTGTTCAGTGGATGCCCTTCCAGCTGCAATGCAGTACTGGAAAACACCCATACACTCTTAAATTTACACCAATCTAGTTTCTCCAATTCACCTATACCACATGTCTTTGGACTTGTGGGGGAAACCAGAGCACCTGGAAGAAAACCACACGAATACGGGAAAAACATGCAAACTCCAACCAGTGACCTTCTTGCTTTGAATCAACAGCGCTAACCACTAAGCCACCGTGTCACCATATAACATGCCAGCATAATACAAATTTTAAGAGACAAATTGTGAGACCACTTGAAAGAGTGGGTGTTAAAAGTAGATGAGAGGAAACCTAAAGATATCATTTGTAAAACTAATATCGGGGTGTCTTGGTGACACAGTGGGTAGCACGATTGCCTCACAGCAAGAAGCTCACTGGTTTGATCCCCGGCTGGGTCAGATGGAATTTCTGTGTAAAGTTCTTCCCGTGTTTGTGTGGGTTTCCTCCAGGTGCTCCAGTTTTCCCCACTGTCCAAAGGCATGTGCTATTGGTGAACTGAATTATCTAAATTGGCCGTAGTGTATGTGTGTGAATGTGAGAGTGTTTCCCAGTGATGGGTTGTGGATGGAAGGGCATTCGCTGCAGAAAACATATGCTGGATAAGTTGGCGGTTCATGACGCAGTGGCAACCCCTGATTAATAAAGGGAGCAAGCTGAAAGCTGAAAAAAAAAATTAATGAATGACTGAAAACTAATATCAAGCCATCCAAATTGGCAGATAGAGCACTTGGCAGCCATTCCGACAGTAGGTAGGCTACCTCAGATTTTATTTTATTATTTTCAAAATCTGATATACATGCCAGAGCCATATCACCCTGCAGCCCAAGACCGGTTACTCACTGAAGCTAAGCAGGGCTGAGCCTGGTTAGTACCTGGATGAGAGACCACTAGGGAACACTAGGTTGCTGTTGGAAGTGGTGTTAGTGAGACCAGCAGGGGGCACTCAACCTGTGGTCTATGTGAGTCCTAATGCCCCAGTAAAAGTGAAGGGGACACTACACTGTCAGTGGACGCCGTCTTTCGGATGAGACGTTAAACCGAGGTCCTGACTCTCTGTGGTCATTAAAATCCCATGGCACTTCTCGTGAAAGAGCAGGGGTGTAACCCCGGTGTCCTGGCCAAAGCCCCTCTATCGGCCCATACGATCATGGCCTCCCAATCATCCCCTTCCACCAAATTGGCTCTATCACTGTCACTTCGATCCTCCAATAGCTGGTGTGTGGTGAGCGCACTGGCGCCGTTGTCCTGTGGCTGCCGTCGCATTATCCAAGTGGATGCTGCACACTGGTGGTGGTATGGAGAGACCCTCTCATGATTGTGAAACGCTTTGGGTGTATGGCCATACACAATAAATGCGCTATATAA